GGTTACCATATATATATATATATGTGCAAGCCAATTGGTTATCGATGTTTACCGCACTCCCAGACCCTTTCGAATAAAAGATCAGCAAGGATTAGCCAAACCAGCGGGTTAGAGCCGTCATAGTGTCATGCTGTACCTGTAAACGATCTTGAGATGCTTGTCATGGGCGACTTGAACCTACTAGCCTTCCCAACCATGGTTGTAATACACTGTATACTAGCTTTGTGTACATCACCAGCATGACAACATGTTTCAGCACTGCCAACGATGTCATACCAAGGCCGAGCATCACCAACATCATCGTTGTCATAAGCATCTTCTTGTTCGTCGTCGTCATCATCATCATCCTCAGCAAATCATGAAATCATCATCATCATCATCGCCATCATCAAATCCTCATCGTTATCATCATCATCATCACCATCATCATCATCTTCATCATCATCATTATCATCATGACCATCAAATCATCACAGTCGCTGTTAACACGAAGGTCAGCAGCAGCAACAGCAACAACGAAGCCACAGTTGCATCCCACCTCTACATCAAAACAATCGCCTCGACCTCGTCCTTGCCCTCTGGTCTTCGTCGTGGTCGTGCTCTTCCTCGTCAGCGCCGTCATCTTCGTCGTCGCCAAAAGCATTTTCATCATTCTCCTCAATGCGAATCTCCCTAAACCCCTGAACCCCTAAACCCCTCAACCCCTGAACCTCCAAGTCCGACTGTTCAAAGGAATCCCGGAACCTTCGGCCATCCAGAGTTCTGCGCTCGGAACTGCGTTTTGTTCAGCAAGGAAGGTGCATGCCCAGCAGGATATACGTGCAGGCACTGCGCAGGGTTTTAGGGTTTGTTTCTCAAGATATTCTGGTGGTTTACACCAAATTTGTCGGGTGTTGGATGTTGCGGGGGGCCGGGCTAGACAGGGGTATTTCTGCAGGCATTGCCATCTTCCTCACATCCGACAGCATGCGCTGCAGAGCCAGCAACTCCGAGCACTACGTAAGATGAGCGATCAAGATCGACTTGCCACATTTCTGCCAATACTCAAGTGCCGAATGGCAGCTGCAGGCCACTTGTTTAGGGTTTGGAGTTCTGGGCCCTGGGTTTGAAGTTTAGGGCCAATTAAGAGCATGTGTTTTCCTTTCAGGGCCTCTCATTCTGTTGAGTGCAAGGCATCAAACTTGCGAGCCTTCAAATTTAGTATCTTCGGAACTGTGCTATGTTGTGCTATGTTCGGTTCAATGTATGCGGAGGAGTTATCTGTCGGTTGCAGAAGATGCCGGAAGGGCATCCACGGCGCAAGCCACATAAATCCTACACACCTGAACCTGAAAAGACAAAGTATAAATCCAAAAAGCCGTTTCAATCCTTGGAACGAAAACCCGACAAGCTACATGAGAAGCCATGCAAGCTCCGTAAGCCCTGAACTACCCCCCTCCCCCGGCCCCCAACTCCCCCAAATAAAGAAAAAAGCAACATCTCGAACCGTCAAACCTCAGGCTCTGAAGCATTAACCCCGGAAACCCTTATAAACCCCCATAACCGCTATAGCGCTAACCCTCAAGGCCTTCCGCCTGCGGCTGCAGACTTGCTCGAGATACTCGAGGAACATTGCATTGAGCCGCGGGAACCAGCAGTGCTCTCCGACAGTATCAGGTCGCTTCAGCGGAGTGCAAAGAAATTACCTGTGTCTTGGCAGCCTCGGCTTCAACGCTTATAGGGATTCTTGAATATCTCATGCTGGCTTTTTGTAGTGAACTGCGTATTCCCCGACCACGTTCACACGGTTCGGGCGACAGTTGCACCCACTCCCTATACCTAATACTTAGAACCGAATTCCTAATACCTATACCTGTACCTTTACCTATCATGTATGCCTATACCTATACCTATACCTATACCCAATACCTATACGTATACCTATACCTATACCTATACCAATGCTGTACCAATAACTATACATACCCTATACCACAACAACCGCAACAGCGACAGCCACAGCAACAGCAACAGCAACAGCAACGACAACCAAAACAACAGCCATAGCAGCAACAACAACAACTACAATAACGAACGCAACCAACACATTCAACACAGCTAAAACAACCAACACAACCAACAACAACAACAACCACCACGACAGAAACAGCACCAACAACAGCAACCAGAACAACAACACCACCAATAACAGCAGCCACAACACCACCACCACCACCACCACCACTACCACCACCACCACCCCCGCCACCACCACCACCACCACCACAACAACAACAACAACAGCAATATCAACAGCAACGACGAGAACGACGACAACAACAACAACAACCACAAACGCAACAACATCAACACGACCAATTGCAACATCAATAACAACAACGACAAACAAAAGCAACAACGACGACAACAACAACCACAGCAACAACATCAACAACAATACCAACATTAACAACGAGAACAACGACAACACCAGCAACACCAACATCAACAGCAACAGCATCAGCAGTAGCAGCAACAACAACAACAGCAACAACAAGAACAACAACCAGAACAACCAGAACCAGAACAACCAGACCAACAACAAGAACAATAAGAACAATAAGAACAAGAACAAGAACAACAACAACAACAACGACGACGACGACGACAACAACAACAACAAGAATAACAACAACAACAACAACAACAACCACGACGACGACGACGACGACAAAACCGACATTATCAGTAGCAACAACAACAGCCTCACCAGCAGCAGCGACAGCGACAGTGAAATCAGCAGCAACAACAACAGCAAAAGCAACAGCAACAAACAGTAAACAGGTTGCATGCAACAAACAACGCACTACAAGCACCAATCAACGGGCAGCAAGCAACAAGCAACAACCAACGGCATCAGCAACAACCACAACCACAACAGCAACCACGACAACGACCGCAGCCACAGCCACAGCCACAGCCACAGCCACAACCACCGCGACAGCCACAGCCACAGCCACAACCACCGCGACAGCCACAGCCACAGCCACAGACACAGTCACAGCCAGCCAGACAACTAGCCAAAAAACTAGCCAAACAACCAGCCAGCCAGCCAGCCACCCAGCAACCCTGGACCTTAAACCCTAAACCAAACAAACCAAGCCTTGATCTCATTATCTACGCGGTCCTAAAAACCTTGCGCCCGCAGCAGCCGAGTCTTCAGATAGCCACCCAGCCAGCGACCCAGCCACCAAGCAACCCAGACAACCAAGTCACCCGGCCAACCACCCAACCACCCAACCAGACAACCAGCCAGCAGGCCAACCAGTCAGCCAGCCAGCCACCCAACCAGCCAACCACCCAACCAGCCAACCAACCAACCAACCAACCAAGCAACACGACAAAAATCTTCCGACTTCGAAAGTCTATGACAAAAGAATAACTGGGGGGGAGAGACCCTAAACCCAACAAAAGGCGCACGGCCGCCCGAAATTTGCAAATCGATGATCTTTGAGCCCATTTTGGGTGAGCCCGGGTTGTACTATAGAGCTTTTCCAGAGTTTCAGGCGATGTCGGATGTCGGGGGTTGGTACACTGGTAGACATTAAGCCTATGCACCGAAGCATCGGCGGATTTCATGAAGGCACCTAGAAGACTAGGTTTAGAGTTTATACAGGGATCTCATACGAGAGGGAGCATATCGACGTGTTACTACTGCCGATGTTTACGCTAAGCGCTACACCCTGAACGCTTCGACCCCAAACCCAAACCTTTAAACCCCTAAACCCCTGAACACAATGTCCAAACCGAAGTCCTAGTCAAAGGTTGTGGCCATTCTGGACCTGTGTATGCACGAGCTTCCTGTTTCGGTGAAGCTAGCCTTGATCCGATTGCGATTGGAATTGGGCCCGCCACAGATGCTTGATTCATATTGCAATATAGGAGCCTCAACCATCAGAATCGTATAGTAGGGGAGGTATTGCACTAGCTTAGTGAGTTAGGAACCCTAAGGCCTAGTATCATGGTTTATGCAAGCTTCGACATAGACGAAGGGTCTATCGTTTAGGGGTCAAGTTGGCTTCGAGGTGTTAGATACCGTACTAAACCTTATAACCTAAACCCTAAACACCCCCAAACCCTTAAAGCCTCAACATCCCTGAATCCCTTAATCCTGTACCCTAAACCCCATGCCCTTTACCCTAAGCTGTAGAATCAGCGCCTAGGCTAAGGGGTTTCGCGACGGATGGCTTCGGTTATCAGTTCGCAAGAGCCGCACAGTCGGCCTCGAAGGTGCCAACAGTATAGCACATGTATATACTTTTGGGCCCCAGATACCCCTTGAGAGCCTACAAAAATAGTACATGTACCCTTTGGGAGTGTAGGGCCTAGAGCCTAATTAGGGCCTTGAGGGTTTATTCGAGTTTTGTTAGGGTTTTGGGTCCCAGGTTTTAGGGTTTCTCTAGGGTTTAGTTGCAGCTATACTTTCGTCGGGTTCGTTGCATGAAAGTTTGTATGGCGTTGTCGCTTGGGGGTTTCGAGTTTAGGGATGCTTTGTCTTGCATGCAGCCGACCGTCTGTGCCGAGGAGCTTAAGCGAAGGAAGCCCTCAACACTGAATATCTCTTGCCCTCTAGGGTTTACGGTGTACGGTTTAAGTTTATATAGTTCGGGTAGAGCTGAAACTTAGACCCAAAACCCTTCAATCGAAAGCCGTAGACATGCAAGCCCTCAAGCTAGAACGGCCAAGGTTGGTTCCAGGAGAAAGGGGATGGTCCATGCTGCTCTGAGGGGCAAGTGGCTGACACCGGTGTAAACCCCGAGCCCAAATCACGTGTGGGTTCGGTGAGTGACCAATGGCTGAAAGCCATTTTGTGGATTTTCGGGTTCCGGCTGTAGCCGACACTCAGTAGATCGGCTCAGAGAAGAGCACCAGCCGCAAACCTCCAATGCTCGTCACCCGCAAACCTTCCTATCCACAATCGCTTGGGCGCGTCGCCAATCTGTTCTTGTTTGTTGCCAGCACATCCGCCCGAATGGGGTTGTGTCTACAACACCATGTGAAGTAAAGGAATCAGCTTGCCAGGAAGCTATAGAAGTAGAAGTACCTAAACCCTAAACCTTAAGCCCTACCTGGTGCCATCTCATCGACTATGCAGGGCTTTGGGTTTGTGCGTTTAGAGTTTAGGGTTTAAGGTCTAGTGTAGAGATTAGGGTAACTCCACAGCATAGAGAGGATTACGACGACATTCATCAAAGCATGTCGTAATTTGCTTCCATCACGCCCAACCCATTTAAGCATTCTTAGCGGCTCAGCAACCGGAACGGCGTTCTCGTACGCGGCTTGTGTTTGGCATTTTTGGAGTTTGTTTGGTGCATTCCAGTGACATTGTTTTGCTTTTTGGACCTTCGCGCTGCCTGTGGTCCGGGGGCCATCCTGGCACATCTTTCTGCCGAGCGCGACATGTTGACAAGAATTCTGGGAAGATTTCTCATCGTGGCGCCTATAGTAGTTGCACGACGAGTTTTCGGACACTGCTGCCTCTGCGTTGAGGAACCCCCAACAAGTTCTGCCCCACACAGTCAGCCCCTGGGTTGCTGGGTTTGGGGCATGTAATTTTCTGCCGACTCGATTCGCTCGTCTTCGTCAAGGGTCAGGCAGTGGTCCGTTCAAGCATTTAAGATTTCCCTCTTTTGGTTTCCGGACCGGAAACTCAGCACTGTCAGACCCGAAGGAGGAAAGCCCTCAACTGGCCCTGAACCCTAGAAGCTTTCCTAAACCCCCTAAAACCCTACCCATAGGCCCCTAAGTAGTTTCTGTTTCTGGTTTATACTTTGCATCCTAGAAGGTAATCCCCAAAAAGGAACTACTTAAGGGGCCTATGGCTAAACCCTACACCCCTAAACCCTAAACCCCAAAGCCCTACACCCCTAAACCCTAAATCCTGAACCCTAAACCCTAAACCCCTAAACCCTACACCCTGAACCGGGAGGGTAAGAGCAAGTGGCGACCTTTGTAAGTCAGGCGCTAGTCCTGGGGCCAGCCGCAAACCCAAGCTCGGCCTCCAGGGGGTGCAGAGGCCAAGTACTATAGGGTTTAGGTTTTAGGGATTTAAGTCTTAGGGCATAGGTGTTAGGGTTTAGGTTTTAGGGTATTAAGTCTTAGGGTACAGGTTTTAGGGTTTAGGTTTTAGGGTTTAGGTTGTAGGGTTTAGGTTTTAGGGTTTAGGGTTCAGGGTTTAGGGTTTTGCTTTTCGTTTTTGTTTTTACGGTTTAGGGGTTCTAGACCTTGGTTGGGGGGGCTGTGGGGGCAATCCTGCGCTCGGTCTCATCATACTGAAACCCCAAGACAAATCCTAAACCCTAAAACGCTGAACCCCAAACCCTGAACCCTAAAACCTAAACCCTAAACCCCCTAAACTCTGAACCCTAAACCCTTGAAGTTCAAGAGGGACTTACTTGTGAGCTTTGGTTGAACAGCATGTGTCAACCCTGCAGCTTCTGCTCCAAACCCTCACTCAGGGTTTAGGGTTTACGGGGTTTAGGGTTTAGGGCTTTGGGTTTAGGGTTTAGGGCCTAGGGCGCTAAACCCAAGGGCCCTACTTGGAGGCTCGGGGACTTAGTAAGTAGGTGCTAAGTAGACTTATAAGTATCCTAATAGGGTTCCTAACTGGGGTTAAGATACGTATACGTTATGTTAAAAGTCTAGAAAATAAAGAACGATTACTTGCGACGTCCCCCGACCCTCAAAGTAAGGTTTAGGGTTTAGGGTTGACACCGTAAGCCCGCAACCGTACGCAGGTAGCATAGATAGGGGCCTTGAGAATCAACATGGGTTTTCTGGGGCTGTAGTCTAGTATAGCCTAAATAGATATGCGCAACTATTTAGGCATCTACATCAGACCTCCGAAATCTGGCTGACGGTTGTTGGCTGCGGCTTCCGCACGATGTTTCCTTCGGAGTTTCACCTTTGCCAGGCGATACAGAGTTGGCCGGAGCATCAACCCTGAAC